GCAGGCCCAGGGCGGGGACCCCAGGGGTGGCCGGGCCTGGTGCCGCAGCCTGGGAGCGCGCCTTCGGGCAGTGTCTCCACCCCGCTCCGGGTGGGCCTGGGGCGTGCGTCCGGGGCGTGGGCAGCCTGGGCCGCGGCACTGGCATCTGAGCCCTCAGGCCTGGCAGCCCGGGAGCGGGGGCGCTTCACCTGCTCACATTCCCCAGGAGAAGGGGCCTATTGGATATTTAGATGCACTTTAATGGATTAGATTGATTCATTTGAGGGATAAATGTCTCCCCCCCGCCCTCCGCATGGCAAAGCCTTAGTGCTTCCATTTAATGAAAATGGAAATCATCTTTCAAAACCTTACTAAACAAATGGCGGCAATTCCTACCCATTTCCAGCACCGACTGCTCTGGCTTCTGCCCAGTGGCACGGCGGGGAGGCCTGTCTGGTCCTGCAGGACCCGGGAGGGGTCGGCCCCAGCCCCACGCTGACCTCATCCATCACGCCCCTGGGGAAAATCGTACTTGGGAACATCTCCAGGCAGACAGACACTGCCAAGTCTATTGAAAAGCAGCATTTTGGTGGAAGAAACTAGCCAGGACCATGTGAACTTGACAGCCAGTCACAGGCAGCGTTGTCCAATTACTTGTAACTGAACTGGGACAAGACCAGGTCTGGGAGCCCGCGGGGCAGCGGCTGCGGGCACTCACAGGCCGCCCTCCGACCGCGCCCCACGCCGGGCCCCTCACGCCGGCCACGGCCCGCAGCACTCAGGCCGTGTGACATTGAGATGTGTGATATTATTTTTGTCCACTCCCCGGCCCTGAGCGCCAGAGACCCCGGGCCACGGGGGAAGGAGGCGCCTGGTGTTAATGAGGCGGCCTCTGAGAGCGTGGGGCTGCGGCCTGGGCCGGGGTTTGGGGCGGGCAGGTGCACAGGGCAAGTCAGAGCCAGGGCTCAGGGCCAAGGGAGGAAGCCCCCATGGAGATCGGAGGCAGGCGGGCCTCGGGGGGCTGCCAGTGGGGGAGAGCTGCCTGCGCCTCGCCACCCCCTGGGCGCCCCTCCCCTCCAGCTGCTCCCAGCTAAGTAAAATGCTGCCCTCAGGCACAGGGGTCCACCCCTGGAGAGGGGCCCGAAGCCAGACCATCCCGGGCACCGCGGTTGGGTCTGAAGTGAGTGGGGGCGGCCTGGCTCAGCCCTGGATGGGCGGGCCCCGGGCTGCCCGGGCTGGCAGAGAACGGAGCTGACCTCAGGGCCCACGCGCCGGAGAATTGCACCTTGGTGTTAGCGAGCACACATAGCAGTTAGTGTCCAGACTGCAGCCTAGTCCATGGTCTGGCTTGGAGGAGGCCACTGGAAAGTTTGTCAAGCCAACTTGGATCGAAATGACAGACACTGACAGACCAGTACCCATGCCCAGGCGAGGGGATTTTCAGCCCATGCGGACCCGGGGGTGCCCAGGGGCCAGAGAGCGAGAGGGTGGCCACTGCGGTTTCTCTTCTCACCAGCCACTGGCCACACAGAGCCCTCACCCGCCGTGAGCTCCCATGCCAAGCCTACCTCACCCCCTCCACTGTGCGGCCCCCTAAGGACTGAGTTCCTCCAGGGCAGGGGCCCTCCCCCGGGATGGGATGGCAGGGGCTGGCCGCGGGGAGTGGACAGCTGTCTCTGTAGCACATGTCCCTCGCAGTCCGTGAGTTAGCGCTGCGGAGTCTGCAGGCCAGTTACTCCCGGGACAAGGCAGGCCGCTCTCACCTACGACCCCCACTGGACAGAGGAAACCAAGAAGCAGCCCCGGCGACCGGGCAAACCCCCGCCGCTGAGTTTCTGACCTGAGCGCTCCCAACGCGAGTCTGGAAAGGCAGAGCCGAGGCCCGGCCAGGCCAAATCCTGCCCGTCGAGACACAGCACAGCGCTGCTTCTGTTTCCAGCGTGGAGATAAGTGCAACAAACGAGCCAAGAGCATGCCGAGTTTCCACAGGGCCGCACCCCCAGGCTGTCACAGGCCTGGCGCCCCACATGCGCCGGGAGCCCAGCCCACCCGCCCTACTCACCCGCGAGGGCCCCAAGCCTGAGCGGCTCGGCGCGGCCGTCACCCTCTGCTGCACACAGAGGGCCCGGCGCGGGTGGGCGGCGTCTCCTCCCCGTGACGCTGGGCTGGCGGTGACAGCCATGTACGGGGCCAGACTGCCGCTTCCCAGGCTGCCCTCTGGCTCCTGGCATCGCCCACGCCCTCCCTTGCTGACCGCGGACCGGGTCCGAAGCTCAGGGGCGCTCGCTGCCCCGAGGTTGTCCGGTCACCACTGCGGGGTGAGGGGTGAGATGCACGGGGCGTGCCAGGGCTCGAGGGCCCCGCCCACAGAGATGGGCTGAAGGCAGCTGGCCAGCTCCCCACTGGACACATCCACACAGTAAGTCGCTGTGTAGTGGCCACGTGTGGAGTCTGCTGCTCAGCCAGTAAGTTGAGCTCCTTTTTCTCAGCCCTGGTCTCAAAACCTGCATGACCTCTTCCCCTTTCTGAGCGAGGGCAGGGGGCAGAGCTGAGGCCATCTCCTGTCTCCACGCCAACCAATCGGCGATAACGTTCCCTTATCTTCTCAACTTCTGATGTCCAGGTATCCGTTTCTGGCCAGTTGGGCAGCTGGGCAGCAGCCCTCGTCAGAGGGGCAACGGAGTGGCCCGATTCTTGCCGCTGCTGGCTGTGATGTCCACAGCATCCTTGGCTACTGTTCTTTACCGTGGAAGCCAAGCAGGTCATCTCTGCCTCCATCTTCTGTCTCCTGGCCGTCTCTCTCCTCCGAGCCTGTCTCCTGCCGAACGCCTGGCCGATCTGTGCTCCCCAGAGTACTCGACAAGGTTCCCCCAGGCACCCTGATGCCACCCTTATTTCTTATGCCCTAAGTTCCGGTTTTCTGACGCAGCATTCTGCAGGGGCCCTGGAGGCCCACTAGCCTCAGGCCCCCCCGAGACCAGCCTCCCTGAGTTGCCCGGTCAGCCCTTCCCCAGGCTGTTAGTGCCGTCCCCTGCTCCCCACCGCGCATGGGAAACGCGGCCGTAACTGCCTAGTTACTCTGCCTTCGTGCAGCTGAGGCTGAATATCTTGAGGGCAAGCTCCCTCGTACCCGCCTCCTGGACGCCAGTTCCCACGCTCTCCTCTGAAGTCAGTAACCCCACAGCCAGGTTCCCCAGGTCCCACCTGGCCTTGGCAAGGTGGTGTTCTGTGGCCAGGTGCTCCTGCAACACACTCCCCCGCTGCTCTGCCAGCCGGTCTCCACTCCCAGAATCACCTGCGCGGCATCACAGGGGCCACTGCGGGCTCTGTGTGTCTTGCACACTGCTGATCCCCAACACCCCGTGACAGTGAACCGTGACCAGGGGAAACAAGCACCCCGCTGCCGTCGTCCAGCTCACCTGTCTGCCCCGCGACGGAGGCGCTCAGTCTGTGGGGGATTCTCGAGGACACCTTCAAGGTCATTCGGATCTGGTAATACCTAGGGAAAGAGCAGAGGACAGGTCGCTGAGGATGGGCCTTCTCGCTGGTGAAGTCCTCTAAAAGCACTAGGCGCAGACTCGAAACTCACGGGGGACCATCTAGGTCGGATGCATCGTCACCTGGCACGCAAGTGTCATCCTGTGGGCACGGAGGGCGGGGGTGGGGCGGCCCCACGCCAGAGGCAGAGCTCTGGGCTCACTAGAGAGCCTAAGCGACCCACAAGGGTGGGCGGTGATGACGAAGAGCCAGGGAAAGGTGGGTTGTACGGCACATGTACGCCAGGGTACGATCCGTCCTCAGTTAGGAAGGTCCATGGCACGACTGGGTGCATGGCGGGAAATCAGCCCACACACTGAGCTGCTCCCGTTACTGTATGGCCAGCGCTTCTGAGTCGCACGGCAGCTGCGCCCCCAGCCCTGGGTCCCGTCAGCTTTTCCAGTGTTTTCCAGTGTGTTTTTGCACCCTTTAACACTATCTCAGTCCCAGATGGAAAAATGCACAATATATATAATTTTTTTCTATGTATATAAAAATAAATGAATCCTTATGAATACATAGACTTTATATGGGAAGACAAAAAGAAAATGGATCGTAGTGATTGTCCTCAAGATGTGAGAAAGGATGGCTGGGGGACGAGGGGCCCAACGGGATTTACTTTTCACCGAAGGCCCTCTTGTACATTAGAATTTTATACCATAGGCATATATCTGCTTATGGAAAAAAAGAAAAAATAATAAATGTTTAAAGTAAAAGAAAAAAATATACCTCACCCCCATTTCCAATGTCAGCACCCCGGGACAGAGCGCGGCCCTTCTGCTGCCCATGACCCCTCGCTGACCCGCCTTGGCCTCAGGTGCAGAGGGCGTCGGGAGTCCCGTGCCTTGCCATGAACGTGCACGTGGGGACATTTCTGGTGCCATAACTGCGCTCTCCTTCCGTTATGGAAGTGAATAAAGCCGAGAAACAGAAGCAGGCAGGCACACATCAGCCCCGGCTCGCTGAGCTCAGGCTGCCCCCGCCACGGTCAGCACCTGCCAGTGTGCGCGCCGCCCTGGACATTCCACGCAGCCTCACGCTGGTGGCCTGCGACGGACTGAGCAGTGCGGGCTCAAAGAGGTGGTGTGGACGCCACCACCTCTGCGTGCTCTGTGACTCTGAAGACGTCACGCAACTTCCCTGACCGGTTATATGTCTGCAACATGAGGATGAAAGGAAAGGGAACTTTCCAGGGATTGTTTCTACTTCCAGGCAAGATAACAGTTCTAGGGGACTCTGGCCTACGGGTGAGATGCTGGTGAGAACTAAAACACTTTCCTTTTGTTCACACATCCCAGACTGAAGACACCAGAATCCAACAACCCGGGATGGTAAAAGTGGCAGACAAAAAAAATCCCAGCAAAAGTCTGCTGATTCCAGAGACAGAGAGGGGCAGGATGGCGAGGAGCTTTCAAACACGCGGTTCTACTCCAGCCAAGCCACACGGCATGTGCGGTCTCGTCGCTGTGACACCTGCTAGAGGGTCTCCACTGGGGGCCAGACTTGACCCCAAGGGCGTGGCAGTGAGACCCCACCTTGTCTGCTTTAAGTGGGACACGCAGGACGGCTCCAAACCCCCCCATGAGTAGCAAGGGCGTAGACATACCCAGTGGTTTTTGACCAAGGAGAAAAAGCAATAGGAAGACAGAGACTTTTTGATAGTTCTAAAGAAGCAGGATATCTACAGACAAAACCCAAAAACTTAAACCTCAGACCTTATTCAAAGTTTGCTTAGAGTGATTTGTAGACTTAAATAGAAAATATAAAACCATAATCCTCTTACAAAAAAAAAATAGAAGCAAACCCCAAAATCTCCATGTAGACGAAGAGTGCTTGGACTTGACAACACAGGCGGTAACCATAAAAGAAACATTCTATAAACTCAACTTCATCAGTCTAAAAATGTCTGTTCTGTGAAAGTTACTATTAAGGAACCCGACAGCCTCTGAGTGGGAGAGGACTCAATGACCCCCTGTCCGTAGATGGCGTCAGTATTTCCGAACACGCTTTTGTGCTAAGATGCACGTGGACCTCACATCTCCATGGGCCTCTGTGGTGGTTCATACGTCCCGCATCCCTGGCATCCCCGCTGGGGGACACGCAGCTTTGCCTCCAGTTTTAGGCTCATCTGTGAACAAGGGTCGCAGCCTGGTCAGGTCACTGCCATTGTTTTGTATCTGTGTGCTGTTAGTGACTCTGCTAATTGATAATGCCCCCTACCGGGAGTGCTAAAGTATCGTTTATCACCTGCAAACTTAAAACATGATGAGATATCACTACACACCTAGCAGAACTCCAGTTTGATCTTTCTTTTTCAAGTGCATAACCCCAAATTAGTAAGGTGCAAGCTGGATGAGATGACCATTGCTGGTGGAGGGCACCAGTAAGAATGTGAAACGGCTTGAGAAAACGGTTGTTTCTTTAAAAGAAATACGCAACTGTCATACGACCTTGGCATTTCTCTCAGAGAAACACTTGATTTCACACCAAATTCGTATATAATGCATACCGCAGCCTTATCTGGACATGACCGAGATGACCTTCAGTGAGGGACTGGTTAAATAAATGGGCACTATTCAGCGATGAGCAAGAATGACCAATTAGCACATCCAACAACTGACTGACCTGACAGAAACGCTGAGTGGCATCAGTGTTTTGGGTGGCATCAAGCTCAGGTAGTGTCACGCCATTGTATAGCATTCTTGAAATAATAACAATTAGAGAAAAAAAGAGTACAGTAACTGTCCTATGGGCAAGGAGAGCGTAGGGGCAGGAGACACGTCAGTGTGGCTCTCGCAGTCACATACACAACCCGCTGGCAATGAAAATGTTCTGTCTCCATCGACTCAATATCAGTGTCTGCTTGTAACATTGTACGGTCAATAGTTTAATGAAAATCAGATACCTGTCCTGTTGTTTAACAGGGAAATCAAGAGACTGTCTCAGAAATGATAAGATGCCACAACAGTCAGAGAAACTCAAATGCCCACAGGGCCAGGCAAGCCGCACAGATAAAGTGTTAAGAAACCCTGGGCCCGGGGTCCCTCTTAATGTACCATCTTTGTCCACAATTGATGGACATGGAGGGCAGAACACTGCTGGCACCGTGGGATCCACATGGACATCAGAACAGACGCCACCCGCCCCCTCCTTAGCAAAGCTCAGTACTGCCCCCAGAATGCAGCCTGCCTGGCTAAACACCAGATTCCCAGGGCAAGACAGCAGTGCCAGTTTGTTTAAGTTGCATCAGCGTGTCTCTGCTCACGGCGCCGGAGGTGTGGGCGAGGCCAGCCTCACACCCGTGCACCAGATGCCTCACCGGCCATGCCCTGTCCCTGAGGATGCCTGTCACATTCCCTGCCCGGCGTTCTCGTGCCAGCCCCACTGTCCCCTGCTAGCCAGGAATTTTGACTCTGAATAAAATATCTTTGAACTGTTTAGATGTTGGCTCACAGGTCAGTGACAAGGACAGCCACAGCCAAACAGTGGCAGCACAGCCCGCACCACCCACTCGGGGCCAGCGCGGGGACACCAGCTCTGGGCTGGGTCCCCAGACCAAGAAGCCGGAGCTCTGGTTTATACAAAGAAATTATAAAGATTATCTGTAATGTCTCTTTCCGATTTACACACTTCAAGGATCATCAAAGGAGGAGATACAAATACCAGCTGAATGTTCTCTTGTCTTCTGCAAGAAGAAAGTGAGCCAGTTGAGGCCAGGCTCATGCATCGTTTTTCTGTGAGACCGTGTTTGGGGCTGTTCTGTTCATGCTCAACTTTACTTAGCAATGGAACAAGTCTAGAGACATCCATGCATGCAATCTTGCTTGAGCTTCCCTGAATCTGCGGTGGAAGAAAGCACGCTCTCTGCATCACCCAAAGACCCTGGGCACTGAGATAACCAAGCAGTTCATCTAATTAGCCCTGCGAGTAGAAGAGCATTCCACAGTCTAATCCAGGACAAATGCATTTTGTTAACCTACTAAACCTCATAGGCATCACATGTTTTTTAAGTTTTCTTTTTTGAAGATTTATTTATTCATGCATACAGAACTGGGGTGCAGGCCAAAGGTGCAGAGGCGGTGAGAGGATTCACCAGAGATACAGTGGGGGGTAGAGAAGCAGATCGATGAAGCACACTGCTGAGGGGAGCAGGGGGCGAGACAGGAGAGGTCTGCTGTGCCATGTGGGTCACCTCCGGGGCGGGGACCGAACTCACACTGACGCGGCTGCAGCCGGCTTGCAGTGCTGCGCTTTAACCCGCTGGGCCACCAGGGAGGGCCAGCATCACATTTTGTTGCAAAAATTAAAGCCCCTTTATAACCAAAGCCAAAGCAATCATTTATTTACTTCTTTGAATGCACTGATTGCATCAAATCTTCCTGCAAGGAGTTAGTTACTGTCATAAACCTGGAGGCTCTCTAGGCAATAAGGAGAAATAATGTTTCAGTTAGGTTGACCCATCTGGGCTCTGTCCCCATGAAAGGCAATGCTGACCCCTTTAAAAACTCTCTTTAGCCTGACACAAAGTTTCTGCCAGGTTGTAAATCCACTAAACATTTCACACATGACATAAGCGATATCACTTGATCCCTACAGGGAATCCCTTACGCACTTACCAGGCTTTCCATCTCAAAGATGAGAAAAAAACCTGACCTCCGAGATGAAGGGATTTGTCCAAGTTCACACATTCAGTAAGTAATGCTGGCAAGTCTCCAGGAAAAACCTTAGTATTTCACACAGGGGTAACCTTTAACGCCGGGAGGCCTCAAGGGAGAGATGGCCACGACTGGAGCATTTAGTCCCAGTCCTCGAGAACACGCACATGTAGAAGCAGGGAGTGGATTCCAGGCAGAAGGAAGACGGGGTGCCAGGGCAGGCGTTAGGAGCTCGGGCAGTGGGCTGGGGGCTCGCGCAGACGCCTCTCGGGCGAGTAAGAAACACGGCCCCCCTCGGCGGCCTCTG